ATTTATCAAACCAGGAGAATGGATGGATAGAGAAAAGAGATTAAAGGGATGCTTCTGGTGTATACAGGTAATCCTTGACTTACGACCACAATGGAACCCTGAAATGTATGTTGCTAAGAGAGAAGTTGGCTCAGTGAGTTTTGTCCCATTTGACAACTTTTCACGCCACGTTTGCTAAGCGAATTGCTGCAGTTGTTGAATGAGTAACACCGTTGTTAAGTGAATCAGGCTTCCCCATGGATTTTGCTGGTCAAAAGGTCACAAAACGGAGTCACCTCAGGACACTGCAACTGTCATAAATACGAGTCAGCTGCCAAGCGTCCAAATTTTGATCCTGTGACTTCCGGGGATGCCGCCATGGTTGTTAAGTGGGAAAAAAAAACGGGTCACAAGTCCCTTTTTTCCAGAGCCATTGAAACTTCAAAACAGTCACTAACTGAACTGTCGTAAGTCGAGGACTACTGGATTCATTGCCATCTTAGTCAATGTTTCTTCTTCCTTCTTCAGCATGTCAACCACATGGTGTAACTTATGGGAGAAAATTCATGCTGCGATGGCAGGGATGAGTCTTCCCGTGGAGAAATGATCTGGGTTCGATTCAAATGATCTTGGCTAAAAGTTATCCAGAACTTTTTATAGGTTGATTCCAAGCTGGGAGATCCGTCTTCTGTACGACGACCCAGCGATCCGGAGAAGAAAATCAAAATTATTTTTTTTGTGTGTGAAACTCTTAGATTTGTCTTTGTTAAGGCAGGTTCCTGTGCTCTGGCTACACCCGCACACAGGCGTTCGACAGCAAACATACAACTTCTTAGCATTGGTGCAGAATTCGATTTGTGATCCCTGTTTGAAAACATCTGCTTGGTCTTTTGGAGCAAAAAGTATAAAGACCACACACACACACACACACACACACAAAATCTACCCCGCAGCAAATCCATCTGTAACCGGTTCCTTCCTATCTAGAGTGCATGCAAAGAATAGAATAGAATAACAGAGTTGGAAGGGACCTTGGAGGTCATCTAGTCCAACCCCCCCCTGATCAGGCAGGAAACCCTATACCGTTTCAAACGAAAATACTCTTCCCTGCCACCCACCCGGCCCCTTACCCCATTGGCAAACAATAAATAGGATAATAAATAAGATAAATTAGAATATTTAAATAGAGAACAGTCCTAAGCTTAGGGCAACAGCGGCTCTTCTGGTGTGCTCAGATTTACTAAGAGAATTTGCCAGAAGGAAAAAGGTGGACGATGGCCAATGTATATATTGTCAACCCATAAAATATTTCTATGGTCTTTTTAGAGTTGCCAACAGAAAGGGAGGGAGGAGCAGTGCAGCAGCTTGCAAAACCGAAACTGTATTCCATAAATGTTTTCAAAGATAGTACCTAGGTGACGGAAGTTTCTGCCGTGCAAAATTCTAACTGGAGAACATGATTGAAGACTCTTGGCTATGGAGGTGTCCCATTGGAGAATATGGATTATGATATACCCAAAAGGGTGTGGGGGAAACCAGGGCCAAGGGTGACCATAAATGATGTGTCTCAGAGTCAGCTACAGTGCTGGATATGTTAACTCCCAATAAATCATTTTGAAGTTTTGGAAGTTTGGCTCGAGACTCGTGATTTAAATGGGGTAACTGCCGGAATCCTGACATATATATTTAATTTTAGAAAGAAATCATTTTT